TTTTGCTTGTGGTGTTGCTTGTGGTGTTGCTTGTGGTGTTGCTTGTGGTGTTGCTTGTGGTGTTGCTTGTGGTGTTGCTTGTGGTGTTGCTTGTGGTGTTGCTTGTGGTATTGCTTGTCACACGGGCACTGCCGAAACTGAATCATGATGTTGAACCTATATGCAGTCTCATAGTCAGCGTGTCGGTGAAAATGAATCTGCGCTAATTAATCTTAGCTTACTCCGTTCATGTTTTTCCCCCGCGACAGTCAGTGTTGAAGAGAACCAGAACATCCTCGTGCTTAATGGACTCGTTGACTTGCGGTGACCTAGGCCCAGACCTCGCTTGACTGAGCCTACTTGACGCTTGAAGGCTCGTGGAGACAAAAAGACTGTGCTCTGATCGAATCCATGAAATTCTCAAATCGGATGCCGATCTGCTCAATTTGAGCCGCTTCTTTCAAGTTGGCCGCAATGGTACTCTCAGAGAACCGCTGCTTTCATAATCGAAGGACCAGAAGCTGAGTTCCCCGCCATAGGCAGCGAGGATATGCATTTGTACCAAGCCATGACCCTAAAGTACCATTTTGATCGGACTTGAATTTGACCGTATTGAGAACGAACCGTGGGTTGACTGTGAGGTATCGAGAACGAATTTTGGGTTGACTGTGAAGTATCGAGAACAAGTCGTGGATTGACTGTGAGGTATCGAGACGACATGGCAAAAGATAGCTGATTGCGACCTCTCCCGAAGTTTTGTTGGCATGTAATGTGTATCGGAAGGAACAATGACTTCCAGTGACGCAGGCATTAGATCGAACAGTTGCGCGGTCTCCATGGCTGATTCTCCAAGGCTAAGAGACACTGCTATCCAAGCTTGCGTCCCTGTTCTGCACGACAGAGAGTGGCGATGGCCTGAATAAAGCCACCTCTCTCTATTCGCAAATGAACGCCTCTCGTCGGTTGGTGGAGAGAGTTAGATGATTCAGTTGCACGTATGAACCTGGTAGCTTGACGTATGCTCGGATAGCCAAGTTTTCAGACAATGAAAACTGGAGGGACTGTGTGCATCGCTCGCGTGCTACAGTGTCAGTGGGCACTTCGAAATGTGTCCAACGGCTGCGTCCAACGGCTGCCTTGCCCGACGTATCTGTGATCGGTCTTTCTTCTTGGCTTACTGAGGGTCGTGTCGAGCAGTGAAGCAGGGCAAAATGTCCCTTCTGTTGAATCCGTGGGTCGTGGTGATCGAATCGGTCGTGGCTTCATAAGCCTTTTATCAAGTAAGCAAATAGCGCAGCTTTCGACGAATAATCCACAAACCTGTGGACATATCTAGCTTCCACAATTTAGACTCTGCCCCTTTTTCCCCGAAGGCTCAAGCGTTTCTTTCGTCTTGGCAAGAACTTTTGTGAAAGACATTCGGCTGGGAGGGGGACCCATTCTCTGCTGTATTCTAGAGAACAAAAGACAACAAATGAGTTGGAGACATCCTCTGGTGTGCATTGAATCATGCTTCAGGTCGATCTTCATTAGGTAACGGTTAGCTTATGGAAGCCGGGTGTCTCAGTCGTTTCTGATGAGGGATCGCAGATCTGAGGCCTTGTCGACAGTCCTAACGTTAAATGTGGCGACCTGTTGTGGATTTGTGAGGTGGGTGACCAATGCCACCATAGCCTGCCTGCACTTCGCGTTGAAGTGCATACGAGACACGCTGAGACTCATTGGTTTGATTGATGTGATGTCGTATGCTTTGTTCCTGCGGGTAAAGTGCTCATCATTCCGGTGCTGTCCACTGATGCTGTCCGGGGTGGAGTGTGGGAAGTTGGGAACTACCAGAAGCCCGTTGTCGTTGAAAGTTTTCACTATTGATGTGCCTTGTCATCCCGTACGTCGAGTTGTGCAGTGTGGATACGCTCGTCTCCAATCTCAGGAAAAGGTGAAAGACTCGGTGACCTTGGATCTGGAGGGATTGAGTAGCTTAATCCTGTTCTTGGAGTCTTATAAAGCGCTGAGAGAGATGGATGTCTTGTTCTCATGATCGTTTGAGTACGTTATGTCGAAATCCGTCATTCATGTTGATGAATGGCTCATATGTGTGCCAGATGGTTCCCGGACCCCGACAGAGAGGCAGAATATTGGCGAGGAAAAGTCCAGATGAGGCGATCAGGTGAAGCTCGATAGCATCTCTGTGTGCCCGACAGGTCTCCTGCGACATCTCTCTAGGAATATGATGCATCCAGGAGTCAGGAGACAGGCGTAAACACTACACTCGGGGACTTGTTGATCGGTCCTCTGTTATGTGGTGCATGCCGCTCTTCTATACCTCTTCACCGATCGAGTCTTCATGGTGCGGGAGCTTGATAAGTGCCTGGACCATAGTTCTAGAGAGGAAACAGCGAAGCATACCTGATACATACGCTCATTTTTGTTCTCGGAACAATTTAATGACCGGGAATCGACGTGGTGGTGGATGCTGGATGGCTCATACGACGGCCATGTGAACTGCCATAACCAGCGCCCCGTCTCCTCACATCCACATCGTCTTGAATCCTCCGTATAGTCTTCACACTTCCCTGTCAAAACGGCCCACGGTTTCGTGGTCTTGCCAATGTCTTTAAAATGCGGAGGTAGAAGGTCGAAGATTTGGAATGGTCCACCGCTTGGTTCTTTTCGAGACTGAACTGTTCACGTAATAATCTCGATACCTACACATGGTCAGCCATATCAGACACGATCACGAACGGCAGACGTAATCGTTTCAGCGCTCGTGTTAGATCGCGGCCAGTAGACGCAACGGTCTTGACGCTCACGAATCACGATGCAGGTCGCGGCCAGCAGACGCAACGGTCTCAACGCTCACGAATCACGATGCAGGTCGCGGCCAGCAGACGCAACGGTCTAAGCGCTCGCTCCCCGGGAGGTACCATTTGCCATGTTACAACTCGCAGTCAACAGGAACAACGGCCTCAACCTTCTCGTCGATGGCCGCCCGGTCCTCCTCAGTGAGGCCGTCATCGTGGACAAAACCGTCCTTCTCCTCCTGTGTGAAGATGCCAACAAGTCGGAGTTGCGGATGCTCTTCTCCAGCGTGGTCGAACGCATCACGCCCTTCGCTCCGGTCTCCTTCATAATGAAGACCATGCTGGTACTCAGCCCACCACACTACGTGGGATCTTTGCCAACTTCGCCACCGGGCTTTGTTCTGGGCGAGGTTGTCCAAGTCAAGAGCCTTCTCCCGAGCTAGCTTCGCTTGGGGACCCCATTTAGCCTTGGCCTGATCTTCTGTCATTGCCACCAAGTCATTATATTGCTTGGTCCTCTTTATTGCAGCAATCTTTTGACTATCCTTGCCACGAGGCAACTGGGAACCTCGTTGCCGTGCGATCTCAGCCTTTTTTGCGACTGCAGATGCCTGCCACTCTGGTGATTCGCGCTTTGCTGCCCGCTTCAGTGTCGCCACCTTCGTCTTCTCGGGGTCTTTCGGCCGAGTCAGATTGTCCATGTGGCTGTTGTACATAGCCTCATATGCGACAGTTTTTCTCCACTCGGGATCTTTGCGAACTTCTGCAGCTTTTCGACTCCATTCTTTGATAATGAATTTCAAGAAACTGCCCGTTTCGTCCTTCATCCCCCCCCATTGCGGGTTTTTGTTGATCACGGAGGCAAAAATCTTCCGGACAACGTTCTCCGACATCAGCACACCTGACGTTTTCTCAACGTGACGGAGGTTCAAGGCCACGTCAAGCAGACTCCCTTTCCATTGAAAGTGGGGGGAGTTGGTTTTACAACGGCCTTGTCGAGTGAAGTACGCCATGTGATTTTGGTCAGGCTGCAAGCCTGCCAGTTCCGCAACGCCATTCCAGAGCAAGTCATGGAAAGCACGTACGTTGTCTTGGACCAGGGGATAATAAAAGTGCTGGCTGTGGTGTGAGGCAAAGACCACATGACGAATGATCTGAGTCTCCTGGCACTTCAAAATTTTGAACGAGGGACGGCTGCCGAAAACCAACGGGCCCTGTAGGTTCTTTGACTTGATCTCGATGACTTCAAGTCCTCTTGTATCGACAATCCCCTCTAGAGAGTCGAAATTCTCTTTGCCCACGGTGAGAATAACCTTTGAAGACTGGTTCAGCCATCGGTTGAGCTGCAGACATGCCTCTTCAATCTCCGGCCAATTGGCATATGTTTGCGCCCATTTGACGCCACTATTGACGAATGGCTCGCGCAGTGGCACCCTGTTTTGGGTACGGACGGAGTCCATCAGAAAGTACCTTTTCGACTGGGCACGCATGGACGGGTTGGTACTATCAAGTACGCACCCGAAATGGGCTTTGCGTGTGCGCCATGTCGGATAGTGCCAATTGACTGTCAAGACGGATGCTCGCCGTCCGCTGGGCTTGGTCATTGTGGCTGGCTGCACATGACCCTCTGACAACGCCGAAATCTTATCGCAGAAGGCAGCCCATTCCACATCCAGGGCTTTATCAACAGAAACCCATTGGTTTTCCGACGTGAGAAGCTCCGGTAAGCAGGTCGGATCCCTGCTGCCGCGCCATTCAATGTCTGTTTGACATTGCCAGAAGAATTGTCTGAGACTGTCTTCGTGGCTTGCGAGTTCAAATGCCGAAAGGAGTGCTTCACTCCAATTGTCATCTTTTGTGGCTCCAGCTGAGGAGCAAATACTTGTGCGAGTCGTCGTTTCGTCTCTCGCGGAGGTGTTCGTGTCCACCTGTTCTTCAGGGACCTCATTCTCGTCGTCGCCTGATCTCTGAGTTTGTAGAGCACCGTCGACAACCAAGGCAGCAAACTTTTCTTCAATCTTGGTGGCTGTCCGATCCTTACTTTCAGGATTGGGCTCAATTTCAGCCTCCTCCGTAGTCTCCACGTCTTGAGGCGTGGGCGGCGTCGTTTGCCCTTGATGAATGCTGGCACCCATAAAAGACCTGATGTCTTGACTTGTACGCTGTTTCTTTGGTTTTGGGACCACAGCGCCTGTGTGTGATCTCTTTTTTAGAGCTGGTTTGCTCTCGGTGCCCTTGGGGCGTTGTGAAGTTGCAGAGGTTCTGCGATCTGGCCCGGCCGATGAAGACGGAGGCGGAGCAGAGCCACTCGGGACAGAGGCCTTGCCTGTGAAACAGTTGGTAATATCACCTTGCTGTGTCATCGTGACTGTGTTTGGGTATGAGAGATCTTGTGCTTTCTGGTGAATTGTCGCGACGTCTGGGCCAAGGCTGGTATTTGTTACTTTAGAAGAGAAACACAGCTTCATGAAACTGAAGATTTCAACTGCTCCGTTCATCGGGTCATTCTGGGGGCTTCTTTCCTAGTTCTTGCCTTGAATTCTGTAAAGGAAGGAGCGTAGCCATCGCAAGAGCTCCGGCCCAATGAGGGCCGTCTGTTGCCGAGCAGTCTCGAAAAGAAGGATCCATTTCAGGTCTTGGGTACTAAATTTGCTTTGTGTTGTCTTTGTTTGAACAGAAATGAAGTGTTGAGTTATATTCAAATGTTTGTACAGTTCGCATACTCCTTTCTGGCCTAGAATGTGGAAAGGGGTAATGTAAACATTGCACCACAACTCGACAGGGACCCAACCTTGTCTAGACTTGTCTAAGGTAGACTACTGGAGTTTTGGGTCAATTCCTATTTTTGCATTCATCGTTTTGGGACAGGATGGGCAGGCAGTAGACGTGTCACATGTCACATGGAATCATATCACATAGAAAGAGCACCTCACGTACGTGCTCGTCAAGATGTAGCAAAGATTGTATTTGATAGGAGGGGTGGGAGCGTCCGTCGGACGCTCCCCCCGCCACCGCCCCCCTCCTCCCGAACGTGACTAAGAACGGTCCATGTCGATGTCGGGCCGGGAAAGGAGCTGGAGGGCTCGAGGGTTTAGCCTCTCCCCCTCGTTTTCCTCCCCCTTTTCCCCCTCCTCCTCACCCCACTTCCACCGATTCTGCTGCGGCTGCTGGGGAGTCGGGGACTGCTGCGGCTGCTGCTGGGGAGCCGGGAACTGCCGCGGCTGCTGCTGCTGGGGAGTCGGGAACTGCTGCTGCTGCTGCTGGGGAGTCGGGAACTGCTGCGGCTGCTGGGGAGTCGGGAACTGCTGCGGCTGCTGGGGAGCCGGGGACTGCTGCGGCTGCTGGGGAGCCGGGGACTGCTGCGGCTGCTGGGGAGCCGGGAACTGCTGCGGCTGCTGGGGAGCCGGGAACTGCTGCGGCTGCTGGGGAGCCGGGGACTGCTGCGGCTGCTGGGGAGCCGGGGACTGCTGCGGCTGCTGGGGAGTCGGGAACTGCTGCGGCTGCTGGGGAGCCGGGGACTGCTGCGGCTGCTGGGGAGTCGGGAACGGCTGCTGCTGCTGCTCCAAAGCCTGCCCTAAACGGGCGGCCGCCCGCTCTGCCGCCCGGCGCAGGCGTTGAATCTCACGCTTTGAATTTGTTAGACAGTTTCAACCATCATGATGCAAAGACGACACTTACGTTGGACGGAGGCCCGCCGTCCCCGACGCGTCCTCGTCCTCCTCCTCGTCCTCGTCCTCGTCCTCGTCGTCCTCGTCGTCCTCCTCCTCCGCCTCCGCCACCACCATTGATGTATATGTTCATCTAAAAGGTTAGCTTGGTAATTCTATTCCGACAGTAGTAAAGATTGATGCAATTGCGATGCAGTCACGAATAATGTCGTGGAATTCTGGTCGGTATGATCTCGCTCTGACAGCATCAACGTCCACTTGGGCGAACACGGGAGAGAGACCGAGCCTTGATATCAGGGCTTCAGAAAGGGGGGAGATCTTGCGAGAAGACGGTGAAAACATTCCAGATGCAGCGTGCTGCCACCCGGACGTGGAAGTGAAACAAGAGGCAGAGGCCACATAATGTATGAAATGTTAGGATAGCAGCAAGAAATACACGAGCTAGAATGCTTTCGAAGAACGTGTGTTATGCACAGTGATGAGTTCAGTGTCAAGGGTTGAGCTCGAGAAGCATTGCACAGCAACCAAAGTCAATAACAGGAACCTCACTTGCGCGAGTCGCTGAGGGCTGTAGTTGACAAAGACGGCATGCGCACAGGAACAGGAATAGGAAGGAAAAGGGAATAGGGAGGAAAACAATGGTAAATCATGCAACGCAGATGTTCATGAGAAACGGAAGACGAGGGGTTCGTTGAGATTCAAGACTTACGTCGGCGGTTGGCAAGCTCGTTGAAGTGAAGAGAAGAGAGGGGAACTATTGTGAGGACCAGAATCCAAGTAGTAGCTGTGCAGGGCTTGTTCACGTGATAGCCCTTGTTGAGTCTACCTCCCTGCTTGTACCTTAGTACCTGGTATGGATTGTCGTAACACAAGGCCCTACTGCCTACTGTAAGTACTAAGTACCGTAGCGGGGGAGGGCAAGTTACAAACATCCTTCCTACCCCTAATCCTCCCTCGAAAGATCCGCAATATCTACTCAAGCTCTTTCCTATAAGAGTCGATCTCGTGAAGGACTATTTATTCGCGTGAAATGTTTCACGAGCACTATAATACCCGTGGTCTATGTTTAAAAGTACCCCTCTACCGCTTAAGTAAGTAAATAAATAGTAACTATAAGTTTATAACGCGCTTTAGAGCTTTAAACTAGTAGTAGCTATAGCTAGTTATAAGGGATAAGAGTTAATAGGCTATAGTAAGTAATAATTAAGCTATAAGGGATATAATAGCTACTCTTACTATATTTATATATTTTTTTAAAATTAAAATATTAATAACTTAAAGATTATATAATAAGCTAAATATATATATATTTAAGTTATTATGATACTTATTATTATTAATTCTATATTTAATAATAAAGACTACATATATATTATTTTTTATAAATAAAACTAATATAATAATAATAATAAAAATTAAAGGGGTAAAAGTAAATAAAGTATATTTCTTATATATATTATATATAAGTATAGGGTATTTTATATAGTTAAATAATTCTATATATAAATTATAAACTAATACTTAAAAATATATAAGACTAGCCCTGTAACTAGCTAAGACCGTAAGGGATATAGCTCTATAGATAACATAACCTATAAATAAAGTATGTTCAAAAGATCTCCAAAAAGAATGGCGATGCCGGGGTTCGAACCCGGGTTACTACCGCGTGCGTCTGATGCTGGGGAGTCGGGAACTGCTGCGGCTGCTGGGGAGTCGGGACTGCCTCTATCAAACTTGGTAGCGCCTAACCACTCGGCCACATCACCTGTTGTTGGAAGAGTGTCAAGTTATAAAGACTATAGCGTGCTCCAGATCCTCTTGAACGTCAGGCCACGTTAAACTCTAGGCTTTCGAACTACAGTCACAACCCACAACCTTCACTCTTCACCCTTCAGCCTAGCCAGCCCCCTGGTCAACACGATGGTCAACACGACGGTCAACACGATGGTTAACACGATAGTCAACACGATAGTCAACACGATAGTCAACACGATAGTCAACACACGATGGTCAACACACGATGGTTAACACTATATCGCCATTCTGCATGCTATGCTCTTTGCGCTCTCGGCTCTTGTATTCGCTTTCTCCACTGTGAGCATGAAGTGAGCGCCTCGCAACATGAAATTTTGAGAGGGAGTGAGTGCACCCGTGCTGAAGACGCAGTCCCTCGATTCCGGCAAGAAAGACCTGGCCATTTACCTCTTATGTCTTTGTCGCACATGCTATTTCATATTATCAAGAGAAAGACGATACCGACAAATTTAAGCCTAGGTATGTTGTGCAATAGTTTCTTCATTGGACCCTTTCAGTGCACATGGAATATGATAAAAGGACTGCATTCACAGGGTATCAGAAGAAGTCTCTGTTATCTCACACTCCCTGCGCGTTGGGTGCTGTCAATTCTATGTGTTTTGCTGCGTCGAGAGCCGATCCATAGGCCAAGCAAGTTAGCAACATGGAGCAAATACTTACTTGAATACCTTTGTAAGATAGGGAGGTACTAATCATCTTGATACCTACAATATGAAATTTGTCCCTGCTGTATTTCTCTACCTATGAACATGTTCAGCCACCAGCCGAGCCGAGCTGAGATGTGGCTAGTGGAGCAACATCACGTTCACACCTTCCGTTGACAGTGCCCGTTTCCTGGCTGTGGGAGGAGTTCCTTCCTCCATCGACGACATAAAGACAAAGAGGGGGGAAAGTCTCGTTCTTAGACACACATGGTAGAAGATCCTGCCCAAGCAGAATAATCTTTCCATCTTACATCAAGAGACACTGCTTCTATCGTGATACTTGACACGCCGTCCAACAACGACCTTTTGCCTTTTCGAGGCACTTCAGTAGTCACGATGAGGAAGTCACTTATCCCACCAAATCCCTCCTCAAACAAGAGACAGATTTCTCTTGAAGCTTTTTCCGAAGTCAAGAAGCAATGCAAGAGCCTTGACAGTGCGACGCCTAGAAGCGAATTGGCAGACGTCGATCAAGCGGATGAGGAAGACGTCGAATTCCGGGAGGCCCTTATTTTCGACGGTACCATAGAAGCGCCCGAGCCTCTACTCGTCGAAGGCAATGTCGGGACAGAAAGCGAGCTGTCTGAAGAGCCATATACTCTAACACAGTCAAAAGAGCTGGTCCTGAGCTGGCTCAGCGCTTCCAATTCCGAGGCCCCATGGAGCCACATCTTTCTCTCTCTCTTCGAGCTCGGTCCGCTTGCCCAAGACCTAGAGCAATTTCTTGAACAGTGCAGGTCCAACAACGAGTGGCGACAAAAGTCCACAACTGCCACAAGCACTCAGCTTGGAGCAACCATCGATTGGGTTTCACACGATGTTGAAATCGACGAAAAATAGAAGTCGATTACATCTGATATCGAGCAGTTCTCGGAGGGCAAGGTCACTCCCAGTACCATGTCCAAGCCCAGTGGGCCTCGAAATGCGGTTCTGACCATGAATTGGAACTATCCGACATTCCGCTCGTCCACGAACCTATGGGGTTCGGTGTTGGATCCATCGAACCCATGTTTGAGAGCCCAGTCGAAGAAATTCGGGAACAGCGAGCTCATCCGTACGCAGAATCGGCTCCCAATTCGAGCCCATTACAAGGAACACGGCGTCCAGTGGGCTGACACGGTCGGTCCCAACTGGCCCTTGATCCAGGACGTTTGCCATGACTTCAACCAATGGCTCAATAAGGGGTCGAAAATCATCATGGCAATTGGCAACGACAACATTGACGAAAATCTCATGATCGATATGGAAGGTCTTGAAAGTGTAGAGATCCTCGGGAAGCCCAGCCTAGGCGCAAGAGTCTTTGGGCAACGCCCTTCATTCAAGATCATCAGGTGCATCCAGACGAAGACTATTCGGCACCTTTTCTTCATATCACATCACAGCCAGCATTTTCTCTATCCCGCCGTTGGTCAAGACGTTCGAGCGTTTCATGACCTCATGTGGAACGCTGTCGCCGAGATGGCTGGGTTGCAACTTGATGCCGACCATTCTGCATACTTCATGCGCGAGGCAACCCGGAGACCCTCAAGAGCCAACAAGTTCGTGGGCAGTCAGTTTGACATAGCGAAGTCCCTACGAGGCATTGAAAAGCGGAGTGGACAGATGACATCTGAAAAGGTCGTTCGAGATGTGTTCGAGCCAACGTTGCGCAAGAACCCTACCTGGGAGCTCAAGGCTGACGATGGGAGCTTTGTCCGCTGGATCATCCAGCAATTCTCCAAGCGCGCTCGGGAGACCTTGTCATCGGACGCTTTCAAAGAGTCTGAGGCTGGCCAGCGACTGTATCGCCAGCATATTGCAAACATCAGCGGCCCAAGGGATGCTGCAAAACAACAGGCTAGTAGGCGCCAAACTGTCGGCACCTTAGAGTGGAAGGCCTCAGATACAGCCAAGAAGATGAAATCGGATCTCAAAAAGAACTGCAAACTCCCTCAAAACAAGCATCAGGAAAAGTTGGCAGCATTTCAAAAAGTCAAGCAGTACAAAGACCTTGAGAGCAAAGACGTGGCTTCTCTCACAGCCCAAGAAGCTACTGCACGGAGCAAAATGGTAGCGTTTACTGCTTCTGACCTGGACAAGAAGAAATGGGCGACATACTACAAGTCACACGTCGTATGGTGGAGCCCTCATCAGCCGGGTGGTCTGCGGTATGAGGGCGATCAATGCCCGGACGTCGATGATTTCGATTACGAGAACGAGATTCATCCGGCCGTCAAAATCATCGGTTTGTTCTCAAGCCAACAGAAGGCAGCATTTACTATCGAAACAGAACCTTAGCCGATCACACTTCACATGGTTGACAGGCTCGAGTCGCTTCATCAATCTGATGCGTCATGGACAGAAAATCCCGAGACCTCGTCATTAATTAAGCTACAGCGTTGGGAAAAGGATCCTACGAGTCTGCTGGCCGCGATCCTCATCGTGAGCGCTGAGACCTCCGAGTCTGCTGGCCACGACCCTCATCGTGAGCGCTGAGACCTCCGAGTCTGCTGGCCGCGACCCTCATCGTGAGCGCTGAGACCTCCGAGTCTGCTGTCCGTTTTTATTTGAGATGTAGCTGACAGGGAATAGCATTGAATTTGGCTCTACCATGTGAGTCGGCTAGTCGCAAAAAGGCTTAACGTAGCACGATGATTCGGAAGCGTGAGTTGCAGCAACAGTTAAGCGCTCTCCTTTCTGACGTTATTTGCCAGTTTCACTTGGGCTCTTCAACTGACAAAGAACCGGATCGGCAGGGGAGGTGTAAAGGAGCGACGCACACTTCCCATGTGGATGCATTGGTCAAGCCATGTGCCCGCCGACACACGCGCGATGGCTGTTGGAAGCTTCAAGATGGGCACCTTCACGTTTGACAAGGTCAGCATAACCGACATGGCCGTTGGCGGGCTCACCAAGCCAATCCTTGGCAGGAATCACGCGAACTTCTGTCGACTGCTCGGTATGACCAATGAACGAATGCAAGTAATGATCACGATTGACACCCCACAGCCGCCGAAGTGCACGCCTGTCTCACTCACATTTGGACGTATAGAGCGCCGAGACGGATGATATTGGACTAACGGGAGGTCCTGACTTCTACTTGCGAGTTGCGAACTTGCGACACGCATGGGTCATGGGGCTATCAAGCGTCACGTGGTCGTGGTCTGCGGAACCTACTACCTACCTACGCCAACATACTACATCTGAGGACCAGCTGACATGCACATGAGCCACTCTTCAATTGGGATCGTGGACTTGACCTCAGCCATACTCAACCAGCACTCGGAACGCGATATTCATCCCCGGCTTCTTTTCAAGATCAAACACACAGCGGCTCAAGCTCATCGCCCCAAAAGGTCACCAAGACTTTCTTCGCTTCCGAAGACCAAATTCGCTAGCAACGCTTTTCGACTTTCTGACAGACAAGATTATCGAGCTTTGAGTCATTACCGAGTGGTAGTTTTCTGTCCTCCATTACTTCGCCGAGCATTCCGTTCGGATCCCTCGTCCCCCGACATTGTCAACATCGAATCGCATATCTTCATCACCACGAGAGGCACCGTGTCCGCAAAAACAATGACGACAATCAAAAGAGCAAGCCAGGGCTTTCCCATTGAGTCCTGCTTCCTGAGCCTGCATTCCATCAAGAAACCCAAGCTTTGTCGACGATGCCTCCTACCAAATCAAATCCCCAGCAGCTAGTTAAGTTATTCAAGAAGACCCCGGTTCTGTAGCAATTTGGGGTCAGAGATCGCTGGACTACACGCTCCTGCGGAGCCAAAACACGCAACGGAATCCGACTTGGACGACTTACAGCGCGCCAGAGCTCAAAGATGCTGTTTGATTCCTCGGATTTATGGCAAAGACAGCTAAGAACGAACCCCCCAAGTCCAATGACTGCTCGCAAGATGGCCGAAAGTCTCATGTCGAGATGGCAGAGGGCTTGGGGCTTTCGTGAAGAAATGCATGAATTCTGACTACGAGATTCAGCTGCGTTTGCCGGTCTGTGGCCTGGCAGTTCTTGATCTGCTCACTCAAAAAAAGCTTATCACGCCGGATCCAGCTCGATCAGTGAATCATCACTGTGCCAGTCACAGGCTCAGGAGTTCGGATCTCCGTCAACTCGAGTAAGATACGCTGCGAACGAACTACCATAAGGATATCTCTTCAACAAGCCAGCCATTGAACACATTTGGACACATCCGCCAAGTAACCAAACCGATGGTACGCAACGTGTCTCATCAAGTCACTGGTCAGTATTGCAAACAGCTCGTCATATTCGCACTTGTGTTAGCTGGTCAAATTATCACATGTATTCAAGCCCCTAACATCTCTATTCAGAACAAACCTGCAGGTCGATCGACGGAAAGATACATGGAGACATTACCGAACTGAGCATGACGCTCCCCCACGCATATCGCAAAATTGAGCTCAGATGCATTCTAGCAGCATATTTCCTCGGAGTTTCGGAAGCTCTTGAACCCTACATGGACTGCAAGGCAGTTTGATACGATGCTTGCATCGTGGAATGTCATCAACGTCACCTCACGAAATCGACAGGAGAAGCAAATCTCGGACAGACCGCATCCAACCTCTTCTTACTAAACCATGTCGGCCGCCGCACAGGCAACCCATATTCCACCCTCATTGCGATCTATATCACGGGTTCGGCCAACACGTACTCCAGTATCCATGGTGTGGCTATAATGCATCTTATTCGTTCCACATGAGTCAGTGTAAAGCTTCTCATATACAGACTGCGGAAGCTGCGGATCGCGAACAGAAACAATTCGAGAGACTCCAGTATTTACATTTATTGTCAGGGATGCTACTATGTCAAGGATATGATCAGGGTGCGAGCTATGACCCTTGGTCTACCGCACATACCCAACAGATCTTAGGGACGCAATAATATCGACCACGGGACGATAAGCACGAAAACGCAATACGAAACCAACAGTCAACACCACACGACCAAACAACACACAACCAAACAACACACAACCAAACAACACACGACCAAACAACACACGACCAAACAACACACGACCAAACAACACACGACCAAACAACACACGACCAATCACCACACGACCAAAACACATCATCAAACACCAAAACACATCATCAAACACCAAAACACATCATCAAACACCAAAACACATCATCAAACACCACACGACCAAAACACCACACGACCAAAACACCACACGACCAAAACACCACACGACCAAAACACCACACGACCAAAACACATCATCAAACACCAAAACACATCATCAAACGCCAAAACACATCATCAAACGCCAAAACACATCATCAAACACCACATCATCACGAGCAAACACCACACGACCAAACACCACATCATTACGACCCAACACCACACACGACTCAACACCACACACGACTCAACACCACACACAACTCAACACCACACACAACTCAACACCACACACGACTCAACACCACACACGATTGACACAACTCAACACCACACACAACTCAACACCACACACAACTCAACACCACACCCACACACGACTAAACATCACACCAACATAC